CAGTCTAATCACATGAGCCTTTAACATAAAGCAGAGAATTTACTCTTGTGGGAGTCAAAGAACTATGGCAGAAGAGAAGGTGAGAGAAATTCCATGTCACTCTCTGTTGCCTTTTGTCTTAGCTTTGATGCAAAACAGCTTTGCAAGCATCTGGGTTTTAAGGCTGAAAGCACTATTAAAGTGCCAGAGAAAAAAGAAGACAGAATGCTGGAAATGAAGTCGGCTTTGATTCTTATTGCATTTCAGGGATATTTTGTGAACAGCCCTGCTGGTTATTGAAGATAGAAAGCCAAAACATTTCATCATGTTTCTGACTCTAGTTTCTGATGGAGGTCAGGGGATGGGGAGAAATATGGGATATGTCTTATCCCTTAATAATCCCATATTTAGATATTCACAAGAGCAAATGTACCCTCAGTTGAATGTATTTTGAATTAGTTTTTTTAAGAATGAGTAAACTATATTTAAATAAAGTTGAAGCTTCTTAAAAAGCTTCCTTGCAATTTTCCTTGTACTTACGTAGATCCTGTCTGTCAAACTGCTGATATAATAAGTAAATCTTATCATTTGATTGGATTATGGTATCATCTTATATCTAAAACACAGTGAAGGTCATGATCCTTTACAAATGAATTAAATTAGCAAACAAAATAAAAAGTAAAGATTGATTGTCAGTCGACATGATTACAAGATTGAAATATGAAGTCTTGGGGAAACTACGATACCTTGTTGAATAGAGAGCAGAGGTTCTTAACACTTGGCAGAACCTAGAATCCTGGGTGGAGGAAACTTGGAAACAACCCACCCTACTTATGGATGATGAACCTTTACCCCAGAGCTTTTGATTTAGTTGAGGCCCATGGATCAGTATTTTTTTTTAAAGCTTTCCAAGTGATTTTAATGTGTAGTCATTTTTGTGAACTGCTGAAATAGATGAAAATGCAAGCTATTTAAAGAAAACATTTCTTAGTAGAAAGAAAGTAGTGACTAGTGATTGGAGAAGAGGAAACATGAGAAAAAGATGAGAGAAACTTTTTGTGTAAAATTGGTAGAGGTTTACACTCCCTTATTCACAGATCTGAAATAGACGAGCTCTGAAAAACAAGAATTTTTCATAACTTACCTGGCAGCAAAATCTAAACAAAATTGAACTGTGTAAAATTGGTAGAGGTTTACACTCCCTTATTCACAGATCTGAAATAGACAAGCTCTGAAAAACAAGAATTTTTCATAACTTACCTGGCAGCAAAATCTAAACAAAATTGAACGTATTTGGTTGTAAAACCTGAGGCTTTTTCTTGTCTTATTAGAGGTTGCTGCCCTAGACTTCACTGAGGGTATGATGTAGAAAGGATGTCTTTCTGAAATGTGTAAGATTTTGAGTTCTGAGAGTTATGAGGGTAAGGGTAGGAAAGGCCAGGGTAATAATTTACTTTTCTATCAGATGAAGAACAGTGCATTTCTTCTAGTTATCTAGGCAGTGGGTTAGCATCTGCTTTATTTTTATTTTTTTATATTTCACAATCAGTTAATTTTATTATTTTTTATTGAAACATGATTGTACATATCTGTGGGGTACCACATTGAATATCAATACCTGTGTGCAATATGTAATAGCATCTGCTTCAGATAAAAACAACGGCCTGTGTCAGAACGTGGCTCTTGGCTTTACATGTGTATATACTTCTCTAGCCTAATCTGAAAAGACACTTCCATTTCAGGCATGGTGAGAAACTAAGGTGAACCAACTATACAAGTAGATAAAGTAGAAAAATAATCATTGTCCTATAAAAGACCCTTTAGCATAACAAATCATCCCAAAGTCTGGAGATTTGAAACAACCGTATTTATTATCTCAAACAGTTCCCAAATGTCAGGAATTCAGGAGCATCTTAGCTGGATGGTTCTTGCTCAGGGTCTCTTAGGCGGTTGTGGTCAGGATGTCAGCTAGAACCTCTGTCATCTGAATGCTTTTCAGTGCCAACAGGTCCCTTATTAGTACTTAGAAACAATTCTAGTCTCTGCTTATGCAGTTACTCAGAGTCTTCAGTTTTTTATGTAAACTTAATTATTTGTAAAGGAGAAATCTTTTTGACTCCTTCTAATGCATTCTGAAGATTTCTGCTGGAAGTGGCTCATAACAGGGGAATGCCTTCTCTTTGCACTTTTATTGTCCTTGGGCAGTCTTTTTTCTCTCCTAGGTCCTTTCTGTGTTCTCTTCGTGGTTTCCTCTGTATCCACTTCCTGTGGGTTGGTGGTTGAGTGTCGAGTACCCTGGATAATGTGAGGGAAAGACAGACAGGTATCTGCCTTAGTGGAGCTTCTAGCCAGAAGACGGGCATTAGTCACAATTTAAAATGATTCATTAAATGATTGCTAGTGTGTTTTTTTAAAAACTAACTAAAAAGAACTATGAAGATGCTATCGGAGCATGTGATGGGGTCCTACTTAGTTTGTGATTTTCATGATCAGCTCTTTCCCCTTTGTGTTTTGTAGGAAGAATAACCTACCATTTGTTTGTTTGTTTTTTGGTTTTTTTGGTCAAACCCCTTTTTCCTCCTGAGGTAGAAATATGGAAGCTATTCTACATTCCACCCTGTCCACTCATGTCCTCCCACTGCATCACTGCAGAGGTTCGGGGATGTAGAATATTCTAGCACAGGAGAGTAGCATCATTTATTTTACGTAAAAAAAAAAAAAAACAAACTCCCCCCCCAAAAAAAAACCCCAGCTTAGGTTCCATCTGAATTAATCTGTGAATTCCTCTTACCTTTCTCACTGCCCATCTCTCACCTTCCCAGCACCCCAAAAATGCTCCTTGGTTTCTTGCTCATCCCATTTCTCCCTTTCTTTTCCTACCAAATTGTTGAAGAGATGTAGTGTTATACAGTGTTCGGAATAGAATACTTTCCTTTTCTGAGTTATTTATATTTTGAGACTTACTTCTAATTGGAGAAGGAAAAACTGAGGATCCCATGAAGGGAATTCAGGTATCAAAAATTAAAAGAGGAGGATGGAGGAGACTTTGATTTTCCGAGAGCAAATTAAGTGATGTGCCTCATGCAGCATTTTCCATCTCTGCTTTTTTCCTGTCTCTGAGCCACCCTGGGGTCTTCCCTGGGAGGTCACAGTATCAGGAGGCCACTGACAGGATCCCAGGGAGTGTTTATAATCTGCATCTTTGCCCGGGCTCCAAATATTTGTGATACTGTGAAGGAGGAAAATCCTGGAAAGAGATGGTAATAATACAATAAACCTTACAAACAATTTTAAAAATATGCAATAATCGATGTTTTATTTGTTCCTTTTTTATTCATTTGAGTACACATTCAAATGTTTATAAAGGTTTTCCTATGGTCACCCATCACCATGTTCCCCATAGATTCTTTAACTATAAACTTTCTAGCTACGAGCATTTGCAGAGCCCAGACTCCCAAGGTTGGAGAGGGATGGTCTTCTCATTAGTGTATAATTTCCCCGAGAGAGTCTCATGGTATCAAAGTATCAGCTAAATCAAGAGCGTGCACTTTTGAATGGCGTTCTCACTACCCACCACGGAAGGGTACGGCTGTAAAAACAGTGTGGGGTGAGCTGCCTTCTTCAGGGGCAATGATGCCGGGCCATTGGGAAAGCACTCCTAGGTGGCGTCTCAGCATCTAGCACATCGCTACTCTCGCCTGCCAGTGAATGAATATAGATTCAATTAATTTGAATTTAAATCTGTGATTTAACCTTGAACTCTCATGTTCCCCTGCTAAAGTGTCATTACTGTGATATATTCAGCTGTCCCTACCACTGCCACTTCCAGACACCTGAACACACACACCCTTCGGAGCCTTAGAGATTGTGTCCTGAAAGAGAAAGAGCTTGCTCATTGTGGAATTCTTACTGTTGCCGTACATAGACTTCCCAAAGATTAGCCTCGTGTTATCCTTGAAAGTGATTGGGCTTGTCTTTTTTGTCCCTGTTTTATGTTCTTCTTTTGTGAATGTTTCTAAGGAAGGATTTAAACTTTCAAAGTGAGGAGGGCAAGAGGGTGTAAGCACTAAAATATCTGGATAAATAAGTGAGGTTTAAGACTCTTAGGATTTTAAGGGTTATCTTGTGTATTCCCATTTCAACTGCCTTGTAGTTGATGACACTTGCCTTTGTGTGATATATCATTCAAAATGGTTGCTGTAAACCTGTCAGACTTGCAATGAACATTCATTGTATTTGAGCAGAGGTCCAATTAAACCAGGATCACCTATCTCACTTTTTCTAAGATTTCTGTATAAAATAGCATCTTGGAGGGATAAATAATGTTTAATATTTTTGTCATGATAATCCTGTATATTTTAATTAATTCATATTTGCATTATTTCTGAATGTTATATAATTATGTTTTCAAGGTACTTCCCATCATCATGGCATATACAGTGTTTTACAGTGTATACATTCCAGCACTAACTTTTTTTATTTTTAAAGTAAGTCAATATGATTCTTCTCGATTTTTGGCTTAAAATTCCTGTGCAGAGGTTTTCCGTGCACTAAAAATAAAGAACAAGTAAGTGATGGCAGCAAACTTAGGTTTAATTACAACAGCTCTTCAGAACTGTGGTTGCTAGAGGAGGGAAAGGGGTAGGGGGGTAGTGAGAGGTTAATGCACACAAAACAGCTCTGTAGGAAAAATAAGTTCTATTGTATGGTTGAGCTAGCCATCTATAGTTTACAATAGTTTACTGCATGTTTTCAGATGGCTAGGAAAGAGATCAAATGTCTAATCACAAAGAAATGATTAAGTTTTGTAGTGATGAACATGTGCATTATCTTGATTAGATCATCATGCGTTGTATACACGTATTAAGATATAACTCTGTACCCCACAAATATGTATAATAATATATTTCGATAAAAAATTATAACAGCTCTTAATTTGGGTTGCATATCTAAAAACAAAGTACTGCTTTTGATAGCTACATTTTTCTTCTAATTTGATTTTTTCCTTAATATTTTATTAGGTGCAGAGAGAGCTAGCAGCTGTTATTGCTTTGAAAGCAAGGAAGTCTGGTGAGTAGTATTTTTGGGGGCTGAAGGAAGATTTTAATTCTTTGGGGATATTTTACATGTCATCTGGTAGTGTGCAGCTGAGTGTATTTCGGGAAAGTTTGCTGTAGAATGCAGAGAAGTATCACTGGTTGTTTTTAAAAATCATTTATTCTACCATCAAAATAGGACAGGATGTTACATGTAGTTCTTTAAACTAAAATTTCGCTGCTTTGCTCTAATTTATTTCAGATTTCAAGGAAAAATGAAATTTAAAATAAAAAATGTTTGTAGTCCACCACAACCATGAAAAGGACTTGAGTACATGTCAAAAGCAAGCAGATCACCTTGCATTGGGTACTGTAACGACAGAGAACACTAGATACTGTGGTCTTTTATGGCTGTCTTTTTAAATCTCAAAGTAATTTCTTCTAAAGATAACTTGTTTAATGACATTTTAAACAAGCGTTTTTCACAGGACTGTTGCATGGATCTGATTTCTCACAGCTGTAGGATATAATCTGTGGAAGTAATATGTGGAAAGGAAAAGGGGGCCTTCAAAAATATTTTGAAGGAGAAAAAAATAGCTGAAATTCAGTATGAAATGGAGACTCACTGAAGTAGAAGAATGCTTGCTGAGAGAGGAGGAATGTCAGATGGAGGCATCTTTCACTGTTCCTCCCTGTTCAGAAGGAGAAGGTCAGTGCTGGGTGGAATGGAAATCAGAAAGGAGGTAGCTCTTAGATGATGTTAAACTAGAATAGGACTTTTCAGGCGAAAAGACTATGATAAAATCAAAGTGCTGACAAAACTTGGAGGAATAAATGGAACGGAAATGTCTTAACACAAACCATACACTTTCCATCTTTCTATTTTCAGTTAGAAACTCAAAGACTTTGCTTATCTCAATTACTTTTTTAATCAAATGCATCTGAGTATAATTAACTTATTATAGTCATGTTACTTTTTTTTTGTTGATTTGGCTGTTGCAGAGGACACAGAGACTGGATGCTATACAGGTGGTGGAGAGGAGAATGCAAAGAACAGCGATATTGGGTATCAGACAGACAGGGCAGTGTGAACAGGGCTCCTCAGTGAGCAGCATTAGGTTGCAGATATTTGCAGGAGCGGAGGCCAAGATGGAGAAAAGGACATCAGTGTAAAGACAGCAGGAGGGAGGGCTTAGAAATAAGTTGTGTTGGACCTGATCTTGGTTCTTGTAATTATAGGGAGACAAAACTTATAGTCTGTATGGGCTGGGACGGCAGTACCTTGGAGGTTAGGGTTTGGCATTTTAAAGTTTCAGAATAAGTTAGGCAAGTAATCAGAAACTTACGGTGTGTTATTGCCAGGAAAGACATATCAAGCGAGTACAGATAGGGAGCCTGGGAAAGCAGGTTTACAGAATGTGAAGTATATTACTACTATAATAGTAAAAAATAAATGAAACCATTTTCATTATGAAAAAGAGAATATATACTATTTTATATAATTTTTTTCACCCAACATTTTACTATATTCTTCAGAATACCATTTAAAAAGTTGTTTAACACTCTATTACATTGATTTATCAATTTTACCATTACCCTGTGATGGGACTGTTTCTACTTTCTCACTGTCAGAAAAAGCACCTCGGTAGATACCTTCTACCTTAATCTTCACATGCATCCCTGATTATGTCCTACGGCTAGATCTCTAGCCATGGAGTTACTGGGATACTCCAGTCATAGAGTTAGGGATACTGGAATGTACTGAACATTTGCCTTACTGAAAAACAATGAATTTATTTCCCCGTCATTAGTATGTATGTGTGAGATCACTTCACTCTGTCCCTGAGAAGTTGCCAAAATCGTATTCACATTCCAATCTACATAAATAAGTAAGGAAAACTGGCACACTAGCCTCATATGATGACATCAAGGTGTAATAACATTGACATCATACCAGTCTTTTACTTTGCACAATCTAATGTGTATGCATCTTGCTTAATCCTCTTCATTTCCCTTTGCTTCCAGAAAGTCAAACTTTTTAGACTGACATGTGACATCATACCAGTCTTTTACTTTGCACAATCTAATGTGTATGCGTCTTGCTTAATCCTCTTCATTTCCCTTTGCTTCCAGAAAGTCAAACTTTTTAGACTGACATGCAAAATTTACCTTTCTTCACCTTGTTCACTCAGCTCCAGCCACACTCATCTTCTCACTGTCCCTCAAACATATCTGGGGCACACTTCTGCCCAAATGCTGTGGTCCACAGGGCTCACTCCCTCACTGAATTCAGGTCTTGGCTCCAATGTCCCCCTATCAAAGGCCTTCCCATCCCACTCTTGTAAATCTGTGTAAATGGAGAAGCTCATTGAAAAACTTTTTAAAAAATTTATTTATTTATTAATATTATTATTTTTTTGCATTCTAAGATGTGGAGAAATTGGGGGGAGGGGGTACAGGGAAGGGGAAGGGAAATAGGGTAGGAGGAGGAAAAAGGAGCGGGGTGTGGTTGAGGTCCATGGCACCCCTCTCATTCCAGCAGGGGAGACCAAGGGGCTTCTGGTGGCAGCTTGGTCGTTGCTGGGCTGGTTGCAGATGTCAGGGGTGAGGAGACGTGGCTGAGGCTGTTGGCCCTCTACCACATCAGCTCGGGAGCCTGGGGCACTTCTGGTGGCACCTCAGTGGTTGTCACTAGGCTGGTTGCAGATGTTGGGGGCTGTGGCTGAGGCTCTTGGCCCCCCCACCATCCTGGCTTGAGAGCATGGGATGATTCTGGAGGTGGCTCGGTCATAACTCAGCTGGGTGTGGTCATTGCGGGGGATGTGGCTGAGGCCCACAGCTCTCCCTCCTCCCCAGCTTAGGACCCCAGGGGGCTTCTGGTCCTTCTAGGTTTTATAGGTATTCTTTAGTAGTGTTAGACCTTTATTGGTTAATATCAAACTTTGTCTCTGATCTGTGCGTATTTTGTCTTTTCTTTCAGTTATGTGTTGGATTATTCACTGTTCCTACCACTTTAACTCTGCACTGGAACTAATTTGTTGTTTTTGCTTACTTCTAAAATGGGGGAACTTTCTGTGGGGATCAGTATTTGAACTCTGTGGTTGAGCTAATTTGCTCCTTTGTTGCTGTTTCCCTGGGGAAGGCTTTGGTGCAGCTCAGGTTTTAATTGTTGACCTTGGAGGTAATTCCAGGTCTTATGAGGTCCAGTGCACCTGGGTTGTGTGGAAACTCTGGCCTGGGCCTGAGTCGTTTTCAGCAAACTGCACCTGCTGCAGTTCTGTATTCGTGACTAGTCTCCACTGAGTGGTCCAGTGCTGATTGGAGGGCAGACCAGCTGTCCATGCTGTGCCCCAGTGCTGCTCTGGTGGGCCTGTCTCCCCCACCACCTGCACTCCAAACACTTCCCATGGGGTGGGCCATGTGCCAGTCCTTTGTGATGACTCACTGGCCTCTGTGTGGCTCCTTTTTTTAGTTGTCTATGGCTCCTCACTCCACGGGAACCCTGTTAGTGGTCTTGCTGGCCTGGGGGCCACCAAGGCCCTCTTTTCCTCAAACTCCTAAGAAACTTCATATGAAGGGCACAGCAGCGGCTTTTGTTGGCACCTGCTCCTTGTGTTCACCATATCTAACCTCGAAGTGGCTGGATGTCGAAATGGTGAGAGCGATCCTTTCTTTCTCTCATCATGGCTTCTCCTACCTTCATGAACTCCTTAGATCTTTCCTCCTCTTCCCCTGAGCTCTAGCAGCCCCAGTTTGGCTGTAATTTCTTTTTAGTAGTTGTAAATCGGTTGATTTATGGGAGTGAGTGATATTGGGGACCATGTATTCCACCATCTTGACTGGAAGCCCCCATATGAATGTATGAAGAAATTAAAAAATCATGTCATCTCACCAACATAAATAACCACTAATACTCTTTTGTTGTTTGTATTTCCCAATATTTTCCTGTTAATATGCAGATATTATATATGAATATGCAGATTTTATAAAAGTGGGGTCATCTTATATGTGCTCTTTTATTTTGAGATAATTACAGATTCACACACAGTTGTAATAAATAATAAAGTCAGATCTCAAGAACCCTTTACCCAGGGGCTAACATCTGACAAAGCTATAGTAAAGTACCACAACCAGGATATTAACATTGATATAGAACATTTCCATCTCCACAAGGATCCCCCATGTTATTCTCATAGCTACACTGACTTTGCATTTACTCCTATTCCATCCTTAACCACTGGCAATCACTAATCTGTTCTCCATTTCTATAATTTTTAAATGGAGTCATACAGTGTATAACCTTTTGGAATTGGCTCTTTTCACTTGGCATGATTTTCTGGAGATTTATTCAGGTTGTTGTGTGTATGAATAGTTCTTTTTATTGCTGAGTAGTATTCTGTGATGTGAATGTACTACAGTACTTTTAAGCATTCATCTGTTGAAGGACATCTGGGTTTCCAGTTTTGGGCTATTAAAAATGAAGCTGCTACCAACACTTATGTACTGGTTTTGTGTGAACCTAACTCTTCATTTCTCTGGAGTAAATACCCTGTAGTATAATTGCTGGGTTGTGTGGTAATGGCATGTTTATTTTTTTCAGAAATGGTTTTCCAGAGTGGCTGTACATTTTAAATTCTCACTAGCAATGTATAACTGATCTAGGCTCTCTGCATCCTTGCCAGCATTTGGAATCATCACTGTTTTGTTTTTTAATTTTAGCCATTCTGATAGGTATGCAGTGATATCTCATTGCAGTTGTAATTTGTATTTCCAAGATGGCTGATGTTGAATGTCTTTTCCACATGCTTATTTGCTATTTGAATGCTATCTTTGGGGAATTGTTTATGTCTTTTGCTGTTTTCCAGGCAAAAACTGTTGAGTTTTGAGAGTTTTTTATATGTTGTAAATATTAGTCCTTTGTTGATGTGTGGTTGGCAAATATTTTCTTCCAGAGTATAGCTCATCTTTTTATCCTCTCAACAGAGTCTGTCACAGAACAAACGTTTTAAATTTTGATGAAGACCAGTTTATTAA